CTTAAATAGCTCCGGTCCTCTTCTCTGCCGTTACTCTCAACAGCATCCCAATGCTCACTTTCCTTCCACTGCGGGGAGTGGGATAGGGATGAAACAGTCTGGTCAAAGCAGGTGATAATAGTATAACACATCAAACATAAACGTGAGCCCAGACGTCTATACCCACATGCAAAGAAGAAAGCCATCCACAGAAAGACCCCCCCCCTCCTCACAGAGTGACGTCCGTCCTAGTCTCTTCTCCCTCCGCCACTTTTACCTCGCGCTAATACGGCCCGACGAGCACACGCCTTTGCGGCAACCGTACTTATATCCATCTGACCGTTAGGCGTAACGCTCGTGACGGTAATGCCACCAACAGCACCACCACCACCACCATTACCAATTCCCACCCCCGTCCCTCGCGCCTCACCAACGTACCTCTGCAGCACTGTCCAAAGAACCAACATCTGCACTAGCAGAACAAAAATCGTCCCGTGTTCCTGCTGCAATGCAATCAATCTAAATCGAATTCCATGCACCAAGTAAAAACGCAACATCCAAAGATGCAGCCTCTCAGAGACGGTAAGCACCCCCTCACAGTGCTGCCAGCAGAACGCCCGGTGACGTTCATTAATGGGGTAAAGAAGGTACCACACGTAGCCCAAGAGCACCTCATTGATAGGGTTCGCCACCAACCTTGGTGATGGGCCGTCCTCCACAATACACGTCGCACACTGCTCTTGCTGCTTTTCTGCCAAAATATATCCCATAAAGTCCTTGTAGCGGCGGCGGAGGAGGCCAGCCACTACCGCATTCGACGACTGCTCTACGCTTGTGATGATCAATGCGGCCCTCTTTGCCTTCTCCACTCGGTGTCGGTCAAGTGCCGTGTCACAGCCAAGTGTGCTCGGATCCTCTTCACAGGACCGGATAAAGGCGCTATGTGGTTTGTCGTACCCCTCCGTGGCCTTCATGATGGGATTGCTCTGTGCCTGCTGGAAGACATCCAAGCTCCGTAGCACATCGCCACACAACACACAGTCTTCGCTCTTGCTAAGTAGTTTCACAATACTTTCCTGGGCCTCCTCCGCCGACGGCAGTCGGGTGAGGTCGGCGTAAAGAAACGACAACACGAGCGCTGTGAGCGCTGTGAAAATAAATATCTTAGGGGTGAGGAACATTTGTTTCCCGGCCGTATACCTGCACCGTTGCTAGCCGTACACCTGTCACCCGCCCTTTTGGTTTGAATTTGGTGGTTTTCCCTTCGTAATCGTATTATAGTGACGGATTGATTTGAATGTCACAGAGGCACAAAAAATTGAGTGGTACAATTCCTAATAAAAGCAGCCGCCTATTTATCCACTGCTGCGGGAAAAAAACAACACCAACACCAACAGGCGCCACGTTTTTTTTGAATTCCTTCGCACAACCTCCCTCACGGGTTATTGGGGTGTCGCGTTCCCTTCGGCACTCTCTAAACCTGCTTTGGCCGCGTTT